CAGGTTATGTGAATGGCCAAGAACGCAATGAGCTTCTCAAAAGCAACAAGAGAAGCTAGAGGGCAGTGAGATAATACCTTCAAAGTGCTGGGAAAAAATGACTTTCAACCCCAAAATCTACATATAATCTATTAGTCTAGTGGGAGAGTGAAATAAAGCTATTTTCAAAGTTGTAAGGAAGTCCCTCATGGTAGCTGATATAAGTCCCAGAGAGCGACCCAGGAAAGGAGGTCTGAAGGCTCCAAGAAATTAAGAAATAGAAAGGCTGATTACCTGACAGATTTGAATACAAGGAAAACCTTGGAGGTTTATGTGGATTTTGGAGGGTGTAAGGAGATTTATATGTTCAAAGAGAACAAAACAAATTAAAAAAATAGGCAATTACTAACATCGGGGAAAAATAAAAAGTTGCAAGAGGAAGTATACTGATTGGCTCAGTGTTGTATAAGACTTATGTGGACATAATAATCAAAACACTGAATGTGTATTGAACCAAAAATTGTGATGCAAGTATAGTAAGGGGAGGGAGGAAATGATAATGGAGTGTGTGAGAGCTAAAAATTCTTAGTGATCGTAACAGATCATCTCTAAAATAGACAAACCAAAATACTGCAGAATAGATTTATTATTTTAAAATATGTAGGTAAATCTATAAGCAACAACTAAAAGAATGGTCACCCCTGAAAGGAATAGGAAAGGGTTGGGGAGAGCAAGGACTGCATTTTGTTGTTGTTGTTATCGGTGTTTTTGCACTAATTGGCTTCTTACAAAAATAATTTTAAAACCAAAGGCCTAGGCCAAATAGGGGAGGCAGAGCCTAATTTCGGCTGTAACACTGCAATTAAAGGGAAAGTAGCCCGGGAGGTGAGGCCAAGTGGCCTGGGCATACGATGTTTCGCTCATCGATATTTCTCTCTCTATTCCTCTCCTTTCCTCTCTTTCTAAAAATCAATAAAAACGTATTTTTTTTAAAAAAAAAAAAAAAGGGAAAGTAGCCCAGCCTGGCTCAGTGATTGAGCGTAGACCTATGAACCTGGAGGTCACGGTTGGGTTCCTGGTCAGGGCACATGCCTGGTTGCGGACTCCCTGTGTGGGGCCAATCAATGATTCTCTCTCATCATTGATGTTTCTCTCTCTCTCTCCCTCTCCCTTCCTTTCTGGAATCAATAAAACTATCTTTCTTAAAAAGGAAAGTAATTGCCGTAACTGGTTTGGCTCAGTGGATAGAGCGTCGGCCTGCGGACTCAAGGGTCCCAGGTTCGATTCCGGTCAAGAGCATGTACCTTGGTTGCGGACACATCCCCAGTAGGGAGTGTGCAGGAGGCAGCTGATCGATGTTTCTCTCTCATCGATGTTTCTAACTCTCTATCCCTCTTCCTTCCTCTCTGTAAAAAATCAATAAAATATATTTAAAAAAAGGAAAGTAACAACAATAAAGAATTAAAATAAATAAATAAATAAGTAGATAGATAAAGGAAAGTAAATCATGATTAAATAAAATAGCTTGCTTGGTATTACAGTATTTTACCTTTCAAAAGTGCTTGTGACAACCGGTGTAGCAATGAGCATACCTAGTGCCCAGATTCTGGTTTGTAAGTGCCTTTTCTGACCGAAAGGAACTAGAGCTCCCTAGAGGAAAGCCTGCCTCCAGGGCTGACTCCAGGTGAGCCTGGAGCACCTTGTGCCAGAAAGCAAGAACATGCTCAAGACTAATGGGGACACATCACAAGGACCCTACGCCAGAGTAAAGGGTTCCCCCAGGCCATAATTAGGACAATTTGATCATTAAAAACTCTCATGACTGTGACCTACTTCAAAACATCGAATAGATAAAATCCAAGAGTTCTTAGTGATTATCAAAAAAAAAAAAAAAAAAAAAAAGGAAAAAAGCCGGCCAGTGTGTTTCAGTGGTTGAGCATTGACCCATGAACCAAGAAGTTACCAGTTCGATTCCCAGTCGGAGCACACGCCTGGGTTGCAGGCTCGGTCCCCAGTAGAGCACATGTAGGAGGCAGCCAATCAATGTTTCTCTCTCCCCCTCCCTTCTTCTCTCTCTAAAATAAATAAATTAATTAATTTAATTAGTTGCCATTGGAAGTGACTATTGTGTTAACTTATTCTGAAAACAGATAACGCCCTAGCCGGTTTGGCTCAGTGGATACAGCGTCGACCTGCGGACTGACTGGTCCCAGGTTCGATTCCGGTCAAGGGCACATGCCCAGGTTTCGGGCTTGATCCCCAATGTGGGGCGTGCAGGAGGCAGCCAATCGATGATTCTTTCATCATTGATGTTTCTATCTTTCTCTCCCTCTCCTTTCCTCTCTGAAATCAATAAAAAAATATGTTTTAAAAAAAGAAAACCTAACAAACATAAATAGCATCTTGATATCCCAAAATGGGAGATCTGATTTAATAAATGATGATAAATCTGTAAAATAGGATGCTATGCACATATTCAAATATTTTATTTAAAAAAAAACTGATAAGAAGTTCAGCATTTAGGGGGAACTGGAGCTCACCCCCAGTTACTGAAGGGAAGTTCTTCTTTACAAAAGAATGTAGAAGGAATGATAGGATTTTAAAATTTGCTATTTTGCAACCCCCAGTGTATCGGGCAAGGACCACTGGTGGATGCTGAAACCATGAAGTGAAAGGCTGAAAGGTTGTAGGGAGACAGGATATGTGCCAAAGCATCATCAGAGATTACTTGCAGATTATAAAGAGGAAAAATATATATACCTTTTCTGTGGAGGGATCTTAACCAAGAGATCGAATTTAGCATCGCTGAAAGTGACACCACCAGGCATTCCTGTTCCTGATGGGGTGCAATGAGACACGCCTGGCTTCACCCACACAATGTTCTGGCCATTATGTCCAACCTGATGAGATCACGTCTTCCGACCTAACTTCCAGGACGCAGGAAAAACAGGGAAGCAAGGCATGAACTAATGATGCCATGAGGAGCCATCAGACAAATCCAGGATGGATAACATTCTATACGCTATCTGGTCCAGTCTTCTTAAAAAGTCCACATCTTGGATGGGGAGATTGTTCTAGAATTTAAAAGATTAAAAAACGTAATAGTCAAATGCAGTATGTGAAACTTAATTGGATGTTGGTTCAAGAAAATAGCTATAAAGACATGTTGAGGAATAGTTGTGGGAATTTGAATATGGACTTGATATTAGGAAATAATTGTTCATTTTTTTGGATATGATAACGGTATTATGAGTAGGTAGGAGAATGTCCTTGTTCTTAGGCGATGCAGGTTGAAGTATTTAGGGGTGAAATGCCATGACCATTGCAACTTACTTTGAAATGGTTCAGCAAAAAATAGAGGGATGATAGATGATAGATAGATAGATAAAGCAAATATGGCTTGTTTCATTAAGGTAGTGGCTATGCTGATGTTCATTGTACTGTTACCCAATGTTATCATAGTTTGAAATTTTTCAAAATAAAAAGTTTAAACATTAATTGTCAAAGAGAACCAGAAAATCACCATTTTGCAACCATTCTAGTAATAATGAATTCAGCAAGAGTCAATACTTTTTAAAAAATATTTTTATTGATTTCAGGGAAGAGAGAGAGAGAGAGAGAGGGAGAAACATCAATGATGAAAGACAATCATTGATCGGCTGCCTCCTGCACGCCCCACACTGGAGATTGAACCCACAACCCAGGCATGTGCCCCGACCGGGAATCAAACCCTGACTTCCTGGGTCATAGGTCGATGCTCAACCACTGAGCCATGCCAACTGGGAAGATTCTAAAACCATTTGAAAATGTGAAGACAAGCAGGATATGTAGGATAGTCTCAGTAATTTTACCCCCAGGTTACTAATTAGTTCCAAAAGGGGGAAACGGTAATTTTACAGTGGAGAATGGCAGGCGACCCCACTTAACTGGGAGATGCAGGCTGACATCATCAGTCATGGGACCAACAGATGCCCTGTGCCTCCTGATGTGCTCTCGGGAGGTATTCCCGCCAAAAGTTCGAGCCTGTGATATTACTTTTAAAGTTCCTGAATTTGATAATGATACAGTACTGTGATATATAGCCTATATAATAAAAGCCTAATATGCTGAGTGTCCGACCATCCATTCGACCAGTCACTATGACGTGCACTGACCACCAGGGGGAAGACGCTCTGACCAGTAGGTTAGCTTGCTGCTGGGATCCAGCCGATCAGGACTGGGCGAGACAGGCCAGACACGTCCTGGAGCCCTCCCATGGTCCCTCCCCAGCCCCGATTGTGCACCTGTGTGAGGGACCCCACCGGTGCACGGATTCGTGCACCAGGCCTTTAGTATTTATTGTACCAACTGTGTAGAGAGAGGAAGTGATAAAGCAAACGTGACAAAATGTTATCATTTGGTGCATCTGGCCACATAGGAGTCCTTCTATATACTATTGGTGCAATGATAAATTATTCAGAGTAAAAATATAATTAGTAAAATCTAAATTAGACCTAGACCAGTTGGCGAGGCAGCTCCTAATTTTGATGGGAACTAAATATAGAAATTAAGAGAAAATTAAATCTTGGTAAAGTGACTTGCATTTAAATACCTTGAGTGCCTTGGCATTCCCTCCAGTTCCGGGAATGCTTGTTCACTTTATGGAGCTGGGAGGCCAGGAGGCACCCCGAGCGACCTGCTGCAAAGGGGGCCCCTCCCAGATGCTCTGGTTCTCTGTCCAGGACCTTTTCTTTCCAGTTGAGAATCCTTATCCTTATGCTGAAAGCCAGTCCATCCCCCCCACCCCCCGCTCCCCCTGCAAAGAGAGCTGTGGGGGAGCCCCTCAGCATCTGCCCCGCACGGCACCCACGTGCTTTATGCCTCCTGGGACTGTTTTCCAATTGTTCTCTCTGCCCGCTTCCTTCTGGACTAGACTACTCCATCCCTGGCTGGCTTTCATTTTCCTTGTCCGTCTTTACACGGGAGTTTTAGCCCAGCGCTGGATAAGGCGTACGGCCTCAGCAAATCTTCCTGAGCCATCATCTTCAGAAAGCATTTAATAAGTGCTCAGAAGAGAGGAGATGGGTGAGGGTAGATACTTCTGGGCCCTCTGACAGTCTTTGGGCTTAATGTGTAAGGGATGTGAACCAAAAGCAAACACACCAAGAGAACTTACAAAACACATTCCAAACAAGGAGAACTTTTGACCATCAGCACCGTAAAGCTGAAACTCAGAAGCACTCAGCTGGGAGCCTCCCTCTGGCCTTACTGATTCTCTTCCCGAAGAATATTACATCTTCAAGATCGTGTTTTCCGGTCTTCCCAACTCCCCGGAAAACTTCTGGGAGAAGGGACAGCCTCTGTGGTTTTGTCCCCGCGTGACCTTCTCCAGTTTCCGCATACCCAGCTCTGCCCACTGGCAGCAGGCATCCAGGTCCCCGCAGAGCTGCCTACACCAAATGCCTCCGCCTCAGTCCTGTCACAGAGAATAGCCCAGGGAGGCGGATGGAGCAGAGCTTCAGGGTCTGATAAACCCGGGACAGTAATTTACAGGCCGGGCAAGTATGTGACCTCAGGCAAGTCACATGGCCTCCAAGCCTCCGTTTCTTCTTCTGAAAAAATACAGATAATAAAACTGACTTCTTCCCCCAGATAACTGGGTGGATTGAGAAGACACAGACCTCCCTGCTTTGGCCAATGTTTTGAAACATGAGTGCCCACCAGGGGCCATCTGTCCAGCCATGTCCCCTGTATGCAGGGCTACCCCTGGGGGCAGGTGAAGGTCATCCATTCTGAATGCCTCCACTCTGTCCTCCCAATCTCCCTAAACAGACTCGGGCACAATCTGGTTAACATGAACAGCAGGCATCAGAGATGGACTTGAAGGACTTAACACTGATTCCCTAGGAGGCTGTAAGAAGCAGGAGGCACCCACCAGAGAGCCAGGCTGCCTGGTTCAAATCCCAGCTCCACCGTTCACTAGCCCTGGGAGCTTGGGCAGGGTTACCTAATCTCTGTACCTCCATTTCCTCATCTATAAACCAGGGATGATAACAATGGCACCTACGCCACGGCGCTGCTCTGAGAATTAGATGAGTTAACGCATAAACATAGAGCACGTGGGTATTACTGCCTCTCATTGAAGCCGATACATCCATACACTGCGAAATTAAAACTGCTGCCAGTTAAACCAGGGCACCTCATCAATGGAACTGGAACTGAAAACACATATTGGTTTCAGAAATGTGAAACGAACAGGTGTGTGTTAACATGGGGGAAGTACAGTATCACTATTTGGAGGCCTGCAGCGAAAATACATTAGCGTTAGGGTTAGGGCTCAAACCCCAAGTCCACCACCTGGGCGACCTTATGCAAGAGGCTTCACCTCTCTGTGCCTCCGTTTTCCATTGGGCACATGCCGATCGCATCATTCGTACTCACCTCGCAAGACTGGAGGGGGAATATGTGCTCCAGTACTTACTAGTAGACGGCACCTGGTACAGAGTAGGCGCTGTCGTGGCTATTATGTGAAAGTTATTCTTTCCAGGTTGGAGCATGGCCATGGGAGGGCGAAGGGGACATGCCCAGCTCGTTTTGTAGACAGAGGGTCCCAACCTCCCGTGCCCTTCTAGCTGCGCGAAGGTCAGGAGGTACAGGGACCCCCGCGCCCCGCCAGGCCCCGCCCACCCGGCGGTTGGTTGGGCGATACCATCTGTCCATCTACGTGGGGGGAGTTAAAAACCCACGCATCCATATTTTCCAATTTTTAGATTTTCTGACCCAGATGCTTGTCCACTTTTAGCCTCTTCATCTTTTATATCTGCTAAGGTTCCTAGGAGAGAGATCTCGCTCTCCGGGGAGCGGGTCGTGGCGTCTCCGAACGGTGCGCTCCCCCTCCAACCGGGGCACGGGCTTCTGGGAGGCGGCGGCCCGCGTTGCCCAGGACCTGTCGCCGCTGCCCTTGGGGCTCAAGTTGGGAGAGTCCCCAAGTCCCAAAATGAGGAACAGGGGGGACCTTCTTCCCTGTTCGTTCCCTTCACCTGGCTCCCTGCGCCCGTTCGGGCCTGAGACCCAGCCGCTCAGCGCGTTCCTAGGGAATCGCCTTCGCCCCCCTCCTCCTCCCACACACGCCGCCACCAGCCTAGGTTCCCCCCGGCCCCCCACATCATCGACTGCTCCCCAGTACACACATCACGGTTGTAATGAGATGGCGACTCGTTTGCTGTCTTCCTCTGGCTGGCCGCAGCCCTGGGAACCAGCACGGTGCAGCGCCAGGCGCACAGTAGGCGCGCAGCAGATGTTCGTGGAATGAATGAATGAATGAATGAATGAGCGAACGAGGCGCCCATTTCAGTAGGAGTGAGGGTCTTCGCCTCCGACCGTTTCGGGGACAGCCCGCCTGTACCAGAGCCCAGGCAGCCCGAACTTTTCTGGAAGCCCTAGGACAATGGCAGGGTAGTGGGACGGGTCCCCTGATGATAAGGAAACGGTGCCTTTGACACACGCGTTGGTCATTCGTCTCTCTTTTCCCTTTAAGAAAAACGGAAGATGTCGGAATATATCCGGGTAACGGAAGACGAGAATGACGAGCCCATTGAAATTCCATCGGAAGACGACGGGACGGTGCTGCTGTCCACGGTCACGGCCCAGTTTCCCGGGGCCTGCGGGCTGCGCTACCGGAACCCCGTGTCGCAGTGCATGCGCGGGGTCCGGCTGGTGGAGGGCATTCTGCACGCCCCGGACGCCGGCTGGGGCAACCTGGTGTATGTGGTCAACTACCCCAAAGGTTCGTGGCCACCGGGTTTCGCAGCCCTAACGCTCCAGCGCAGTCGTGTTTGTGCCGCATTGTCGGTCCGAGAGGGTGGCCTCTTTTTTTTTTTAATATGTTTTATTGATTTTTTACAGAGAGGAAGGGAGATGGGTAGAGAGTTAGAAACATGGATGAGAGAGAAACATCGATCAGCTGCCTCCTGCACACCCCCTACTGGGGATGTGCCCCCCGCAACCAACCGGAATCGAACCTGGGACCCTTCAGTCCGCAGGCCCCCGCTCTGTCCAGAGCCAAGCCGGTCAGGGCGAGGGTGGCCTCTTTTCATGGTGCAACGTCTCCGATAACCCAAGTATTTCTTTAAACGTTGCTTACTATTAGACTAGTTTGTAAGAGCACTAGTTTAAATGAGTGAGGACTGCAAGTTACAGAACCTTTTTTAAAAGTGAAAACTGTGTGTTTAAGTATCTGAACAAGTGTTGCCATGTTTAGACAATGATGTATCAGTGTTGGTCCATCATTTGTAACAAATGTGTCACCACGGGAGGGATGTTGATGGGGGAAGCCATGCGTGTGCGGAGGAAGGGCAGTACTTATGTGGGAAATCTCTGCTTTCCTCTCAATTGTGCTCTGAACCTAAAGTTGTTCAAAAATGTCTGTTTTTTTTTAAATTTTCATTCGGTTCTTCCCTTTCTAATTTTGCTTTTTAAAAAATAACCTAAGGTTTTTTAATATTACAAAAATTAATGTGCCTTTATTATTGAAAGTTTAGAAAAGAAAATTGAAATCACCCTAAATCTACAGCTGGAAATAAAAGTTGCTGATTTTTTTTTTTTTTTTGGCAGATAGCCTGTAAGTTATAGGCATTAAAATAATTAAGCAAATACATTTAATAGGCAAAAAGATGCTAATTACTCTTTTAACCTGTTTTTTTCCTCAATGTATTTCAAAGTCAGAGTGAAGTAGAATTATTTATGTTTTGATATGCCTTCTGAGAAGGGAGGATATATATTTGTAATCTTGTGACACTACAAAACCAGAGGTTTGAGTCCCTGGATTTGCACCAGGAAAGCACCTCAACCACTGACTCAATCCTTCATTCTGTCTCTGAGAGCTGACGTTACTCTTTGCCAAAAGTTGAAACATCTTTATGTTCTTAGAATCTTTTTGCTTCTCCTAGATGTAGGAGGCAATGTGTTTTGAAACGTGTTACATGAAGAGTTCTAAAAGGTTTCTGCTCATTTTGTTTAGATAACAAAAGGAAAATGGATGAAACAGATGCTTCATCAGCAGTGAAAGTGAAAAGAGCCGTCCAGAAAACATCTGATTTAATAGTGTTGGGTCTCCCGTGGAAGACAACTGAGCAGGATCTAAAAGAATATTTTAGTACCTTTGGAGAAGTTCTTATGGTTCAGGTAAACTTTGATTTCATTTAACAGTTTTTCTTTTTCTGGGTGAATGAGCACCCAGAATTCCTGTTATAGTGACACTGCCCTTCATGTTCAACAGACAGTATTTTTAATTTAAGATTCGTAAACATTAGAGCTAGTTTATCTTTGCATTCTAAAACATTTTGTTGAAATTCTGATATGTAAAAGAGTATTATTCTGCTATAAACAGGATCTAAATTCAACATAGATTTATTCTTGGGGTTTTTACCCCAAGAATAATTTGGTTTAAATTTTAATTAAGCCACTGCATCCAGTTGAAGCCATTCACATTGTCAAGGAATTTCTCATTTGGTTATGTATCTGTGTTGTTTTAGTAAATTTAAATGATTTTTTTTCTAGGTCAAGAAAGACATTAAAACTGGTCATTCAAAAGGGTTTGGATTTGTTCGATTTACGGAATATGAAACCCAGGTGAAAGTAATGTCACAGAGACATATGATAGATGGACGATGGTGTGACTGTAAACTTCCTAATTCTAAGGTACTTTGCTTTTTTTATTTCTTTGCTTTTTTGCCTTTTTTATTTCTGCTTTGGGAACTTTTGCTGACAAACTTCCTATAGAAGACACTATAAAATAAAGTGTTAAATACACTTGGAAAGGTAGTGTCAGGATGTTTTCTTAAAGCCTTGGGATCTTAATGCATGCTGAATATTTTATGGCTGTTTGAAATATTTAGTTAAATATCCCTCTAAACCAGCGGTTCTCAACCTGTGGGTCGCGACCCCTTTGGGGGTCGAACGACCCTTTCACAGGGGTCACCTAAGACCATCGGAAAACACATACGTAATTACATTAAGATTCATAACAGTAACAAAATTACAGTTATGAAGTAGCAACGAAAATAATTTTATGGTTTGGGGTCACCACAACATGAGGAACTGTATTAAAGGGTCACGGCATTAGGAAGGTTGAGAGTTTAAACTAAACTATGTTAACAATCTTACGTAGTTACATGTTAAAACATGAAGATGATCAGAGTGCAGTAAACTTGTTATAAAAGCCTAACTTGTTCCAAGCAAGACTTGCTTATGTGGAACATTATTGATTAGTCGTTGACTTTCCTAGATCCAAATATACTTTCATGAACTTAAAACTTTAAAACTGTATTTGTCATTGAAGTCTTACAAGAAGGAGGAGTGCTAATGCAAAAAAATAAAAATGTACTTATTTTTTAATGACTCACCTGAGGTAAAGGCAGATAGGTTGTGCTACATCCTCCACCACAATGCCTTTTCCATTGCTCATAAAATATTTCTGATTGTTTTTCCTACCTTTGAATTTGCTCAGCAAAGCCCAGATGAGCCTCTGCGAAGCAGAAAGGTGTTTGTTGGGCGTTGTACAGAGGACATGACGGCTGATGAGCTGCGGCAGTTCTTTTGCCAGTACGGAGAAGTGGTAGATGTCTTCATTCCCAAACCATTCAGGGCTTTTGCCTTTGTTACATTTGCAGATGATCAGGTATTTTTCTCTTTAAAAATTTTATCCCAGCTAATTAGGTAATTTCTCTTGAACTTTTCCCTCCAGCTAATTGCCATCCATAACTAAGCTTTCTGACCTTGTAAGCTGTGCAGGGTATATGGACCTAGATATCTGTGATAAACGTTTTAGTACTTTTCAGTATGTGGTGTTTAACCAAGAGTGTTATATATCTTTAGAAAGTAAACTGAAAAATTCTTGCTGCCATTACTAAAAGCTCAAGGCTATTTTGAGTTTAAATGAAATGAGCATTCATTGTTTATTTTTCCTTCAGTTTAGATAATGGCTTGAAATCTAAATTTTATTGCAACTTTGAAGTACAAGTCAGTGGTTTAATCGCCTTTATTTACACCCCTTATTTTCTTATAGGTTGCCCAGTCTCTTTGTGGAGAGGACTTGATCATTAAAGGAATCAGCGTACATATATCCAATGCTGAACCTAAGCACAATAGCAATAGACAGTTAGAAAGAAGTGGAAGATTTGGTGGTAATCCAGGTGGCTTTGGGAATCAGGGTGGATTTGGTAACAGTAGAGGGGGCGGAGCTGGCTTGGGAAATAATCAAGGTAGTAACATGGGTGGAGGGATGAACTTTGGTGCTTTTAGCATTAATCCAGCGATGATGGCTGCAGCCCAGGCAGCGCTGCAGAGCAGCTGGGGTATGATGGGCATGTTAGCCAGTCAGCAGAACCAGTCGGGCCCGTCAGGTAATAACCAAAGCCAGGGCAACATGCAGAGGGAGCCGAATCAGGCCTTTGGGTCCGGAAATAACTCTTACAGTGGCTCTAACTCAGGGGCAGCCATTGGGTGGGGGTCAGCTTCAAATCCAGGGTCAGGCAGTGGTTTTAACGGAGGCTTTGGCTCAAGCATGGATTCGAAACCTTCTAGCTGGGGAATGTAGACAGTGGATGACGGTTGGTTGTATAGACTGGTGGGAATTCAAATTTTTCTAATCTCATGGTAAGTATATTGTAAAATACA